GGCGGGGTGATGGAAGGAGGGAGAATGGGGTGGGGTTATGGAAGGAGGAGAATGGGGCGGGTCATGGATAGCGAGAGAATGGGGCGGGTTGATGGAAGGAGGGAGAATGGGGCGGGGTGATTGAACGCGGAAGAATAGGGCGAGTAATGGAAAGCAGGAATGGGGTGGGGTGGTGGAAAGCGGGAGAATGGGGCGCGGTAATGGGAAAGCGTTAGAATGGGGCGAGGTGATGGAAAGCGGAAGAATGGGGCGGGGTGATGGAAAGCAGGAGAATGGGGGCGGGGGATGGAAAGCGGAAGAATAGGGCGGAGTGATTGAAAGCGGGAGAATGGGGAGAGGTGATGGAAAGCGGGAGATGGGGCGGGGTGATGGAAAGCGGGGAGAATGGTGCGGGGTGATGGAAAGCGGGAGAATGAGGCGGGGTCATGGAAAGCGGGAGAATGGGGTGCAGTGATGGAAGCAGGAGAAGGGCCGGGGTGATGGAAAACGGAGAATGGGGCGGGGCTATGGAAAGCGGGAAACTGGGGCGGGGGGAGGGAAAGCGGGAGATGGGCGGGGTGATGGAAAGCGGGAGAATGGGCGGGGTGATGGAAAAGGGGATAACGGGGCGGGTGATGGAAAGCGGAGAATGGGGCGGGGTGATGGAAGGAGGAGGATGGGGCAGGGTGATGGAGGAGGGAGAATGGGCGGGGTGATGGAAAGCGGGACAATGGGGCTGGGTGATGGAAGGAGGGAGAATGGGGTGGGGTGATGGAGGGAGGGAGAATGGGCCGGGTGATGTAAATCGAGAGAATGGGGCGGGGTGTTGGGAAGCGGGAGAATGGGGCGGGATGATGGAAAGCGGGAGAATGTGGCGGGTGATGGAATGCGGAGAATGAGGCGGGGTGATCAAGGAGGGAGAATGGGGCGGGTTGATGGAAGGAGGGAGAATGGGGACGGGGTGATGGAAGAGGGGAGAATGGGGAGGGGTGATGGTGAGCGGGAGAATGGGACGGGGTGATGGAAAGCGGGAGAACGGGGCGGGGTGATGGAAAGCGGGCGAATGGGGCAGGGTGATGGAAAGCGGGAGAATGGGGCGGGGAGATGGAAAGCAGGAGAATGGGGCGGAGTGATGGAAAGCGGGAGAATGGGGCGGGGTGATGGAAAGCGGGAGAATGGGGTGCGGGGATGGAAAGCAGGAGAAGGGGGCGGGGTGATGGAAAGCGGGAGAATGGGGCTGGGCTATGGAAAGCGGGAGACTGGGATGGGAGAGGGAAAGCGGGAGAATGGGCGTGGTGATGGAAAGCGGGAGAATGGGGCGGGTGATGGAAAGCGGGAGAATGGGGCTGGGTTATGGAAGGAGGGAGAAAGGGGGGGGGGGGTGATGGACGGAGGGAGAATGGGGCGAGGTGATGGAAGGAGGGAGAATGGGGCGAGGTGATGGAAAGCGGGAGAATGGGGCGGGTGATGGAAAGCGGGAGAATGGGGCGGGGTGATGAAGGGAGGGAGAATGGGGTGGGGTTATGGAAGGAGGGAGAATGGGGCGGGTGATGGAAAGCGAGAGAATGGGGCGGGGTGATGGAAGGAGGGAGAATGGGGCGGGGTGATTGAACGCGGAAGAATAGGGCGAGGTGATGGAAAGCAGGAGAATGGGGTGGGGTGGTGGAAAGCGGGAGAATGGGGCGGGGTAATGGAAAGCGAGAGAATGGGGCGAGTGATGGAAAGCGGGAGAATGGGGCGGGGTGATGGAAGCAGGAGAATGGGGCGGGGTGATGGAAAGCGGAAGAACGGGCGGAGTGATGGAAAGCGGGAGAATGGGGAGAGGTGATGGAAAGCGGGAGAATGGGGCGGGGTGATGGAAAGCGGGAGAATGGGGCGGGGTGATGGAAAGCGGGAGAATGGGGTGCAGTGATGGAAAGCAGGAGAAGGGGGCGGGGTGATGGAGAACGGGAGAATGGGGCGGGGCTATGGAAAGCGGGAGACTGGGGCGGGGTGAGGGAAAGCGGGAGAATGGGGCGGGTGATGGAAAGCGGGAGAATGGGGCGGGGTGATGGAAAAGGGGAGAACGGGGCGGGGTGATGGAAAGCGGGAGAATGGGGCGGGGTGATGGAAGGAGGGAGGATGGGGCAGGGTGATGGAAGGAGGGAGAATGAGGCGGGGTGATGGAAAGCGGGAGAATGGGGATGGGTGATGGAAGGAGGGAGAATGGGGGCGGGGTGATGGAAGGAGGAGAATGGGCCGGGGTGATGTAAATCGAGAGAATGGGGTGGGGTGTTGGGAAGCGGGAGAATGGGGCGGGGTGGTGGAAGGAGGGAGAATGGGGCGGGGTGATGGAAAGCGGGAGAATGGGGCGGGGTGATGGAAAGCGGGAGAATAGGGCAGGGTGATGGAAAGCGAGACAATGGGGCGGGGTGATAGAAGGAGGGAGAATGGGGCAGGGTGATGGAAAGCGGGAGAATTGGGCGGGGTGATGGAAAGCGGGAGAATGGGGCGGGGTGATGGAGAGCAGGAGAATTGGGCGGGGTGATGGAAAGCGGGAGAATGGGGCGGAGTGATGGAACGCGGGAGAATGGGGCGGGGTGATGGAAAGCAGGAGAATGGGGCTGGGTGATGGAAAGCGGGAGAATAGGGCGGGGTGATGGAAAGCGGGACAATGGGGCGGGGTGATGGAAAGCGGGAGAATGGGGTGTGGTGATGGAAAGCAGGAGAAGGGGGCGAGATGATGGAAAGCGGTAGAATGGGGCGGGGCTATGGAAAGCGGGAGACTGGGGCGGGGTGAGGGAAAGCGGGAAAATGGGACGGGGTGATGGAAAGTGGGAGAATGGGGCGGGGTGATAGAAAGCGGGAGAACGGGGGCGGGGTGATGGAAAGCGGGAGAATGGGGCGGGGTGATGGAAGGAGGGAGGATGGGGCAGGGTGATGGAAGGACACCCTAAAGCGTTGCAGTGCTCTTGCCGGACACCCTAAAGCGTTGCAGTGCTCTTGCTGGACACCCCGGAGCGTTGCAATGCATTTCCAGGACACCTCGTAGCGTTGCAATGCTCATGCCCGACACCCTGGAGCGTTGCTGTGCTCTTGCAGGATACCCCGGAGCGTTGCAATGCTCTGGCTAGACACCCTGGAGCGTTGCTGTGCTCTTGCAGGATACCCCGGAGCGTTGCAATGCTCTTGCCGGACACCTTGGAGCTTTGCAATGCTTTTGGCAAACACCCTAGATCGTTGCAATTCTCTTGCCAGACACTCCGGAGCGTTGGTGTGCTCTTGCCGGACACCGCGGAGCGTTGCAGTGCACTTTTCGGACACCCCGGAGCGTTGCAATGCTCTTACCGGACACCCCAGAGCGTTACAATGCTCTTGATGGACACCCTCGAGCGTTGCAGTGCTCTTGCCTGACACCCATGAGCGTTGCAGTGCACTTGCCGGACACTCCTGAGCGTTGCAATGCTCTTGCCCAACACCCAGGAGTGTTGGATTGAACTTGCCAAACACCCCGTAGCGTTGCACTGCTCTTGCCAGACACCCCGGAGTGTTGCAAGGCCCTTGCTAAACACCTTGGAGCGTTGCAATGTTCTTGCCAGACACCCTGGATCGTTGCAAATTGCTTGCCGGACACCCCGGGGCGATGGAAAGCTCTTGTTGACCACCTTGGAGCGTTGCAATGCTCTTGCCGACACCTGGGAGTGTTGCAATGCTCTTGCCGGACACCCCTGGAGCGTTGCAGTGCACTTGCCGAACACCTCGGAGCGTTGCACTGCTCTTGCCGAACACCCCGGAGTGTTGCAGCGCTCTTGCCGGACACCCTAGAGCTTTGCAATGATCTTGCCAAACACCCTCGAGCGTTGCAATGCTCTTGCCGGACACCCCGGATCGTTGCAACGTGCTTGCCGGACACCTCCGAGCGTTGCACTGCTCTTGCCGACACCCTGAAGGGTTGCAATGCTCTTGCGACACACCCTGGAGCGTTGCAATGCTCTTGTTGGACACCTTGGTGCGTTGCAATGCTCTTGCCCGACTCCCCGCAGCATTGCAATGCTCTTGCCGACCACCCTGGAGCGTTGCAATGCTCTTGCCAAACACCCTGGAGCGTTGCAATTCTCTTGCCGGACACCCTCGAGCATTAAAGTTCTCTTGCCGGACACCCCGGAGCGTTGTAGTGCACTTGCCGGACACCTCGGAGCGTTGCAATGCTTTTGCCGGACACCTTGGAGCGTTGCGATGCTCTTGCCTTACATCCCAGAGCGTTGCACTGCACTTGCCAGACACCCTGGAGCGTTACAATGCTCTTGCCGGACACCCTGGAGTGTTGCAATGCTCTTGCTGGACACCCCAGAGCGTTGCAATGCTTTTGCTGGACACCCAGGAGCATTGCGATGCTCTTGACGAACACACTAGAGCGTTGCAATGCTCTTGCCGAACACCCTAGAGCGTTGCAATGCTCTTGCTAGACACCCCAGAGCGTTGCAATGCTTCTGCCGGACACCCTGGAGCGTTGCAAGGCTCTTGCCGAACACCCTGGTGCGCTACACTGCTCTTGCCGACCACCCTGGAGTGTTGCAATGCTCTTGCTGACCACCCAAGAGCGTTGCAATACTCTTGCCGGACACCCCGGAGCGTTGCAATGCTCTTGGCAGACACCTCAGAGCATTGCAGTGCTCTGGCCGGACCCCCCGGAGCTTTGCTGTGCACTTGTTGGACACTCCCGAGTGTTGCAATGCCCTTGACGACCACCCAACAGATTGCAATGCTCTTGCCGGCCACCCTGAAGCGTTGCAATGCTCTTGCCAAACACCCTGTAGCGTTGCAATGCTCTTGCACGACACCCCGGAGCGTTGCAATGCTCCTGCCTGACACACTGTTGCGTTGCAATGCTCTTGCCAAACACCCTAGAGCGTTGCAATGCTCTTGCCGGACAACCCGGAGCGTAGCAATGCTCCTGCCGGACACCCTGGAGCATTGCAAGGCTCTTGCGGGACACCCTGGAGCGCTGCAATGCTCTTGCCGACCACCCTGGAGCGTTGCAATGCTCTTGCCGACCACCCGAGAGCGTTGCAATGCTTTTGCCGGACACCCCGGAGCGTTGCAATGCTCTTGCCTGACACCCTGGAGCATTGCAGTGCACTTGCCGGACACCCTGGAGCGTTGCAGTGCTCTTGCCGGCCACCATCGAGCGTTGCAATGCTCTTGGCAGACACCTCAGAGCATTGCAGTGCTCTTGCCGGATCCCTCGGAGTGTTGTAGTGCACTTGCTGGACACCCTAGAGTGTTGCAATGCTCTTGCCGACCACCCAAGAGCGTTGCAATGCTCTTGCCGGCCACCCTGAAGCATTGCAATGCTCTTGCCGGACACTCAGGAGCGTTGCAATGCTCTTGCACGACACCCCGGAGCGTTCCAGTGCTCCTGCGTGACACCCTGGAGCGTTGCAATGCTCTTGCCGGACACCTTGGAGCGCTGCAATGCTCTTGCCGACCACCCTAGAGCGTTGCAATGCTCTTGCCGACCACCCAGGAGCGTCGTAATGCTCTTGCCGGACACCCAGGAGCGTTGCAATGTTCTTGCTGGCCACCCTAGAGCGTTGCAATGCTCTTGCCGGCCACCCTGGAGCATTCTAGTGCTCTTGCGGGACACCCTAGAGCATTGCAATGCTCTTGTAGGACACCCTGGATCAGTGCAATGCTCTTGACGGACACCCCAGAGCGTTGCAGTGCATTTGCCGGACACCCCGTAGCGTTGCAATGTTCTTGCGGGACACCCTAGAGCGTTGCAATTTCCGGACACCCTGGAGCGTTGCAATGATCTAGCTGGATACCCTGGGAGCGTTGCAGTGCACTTGCCGGATACCATGGAGCGTTGCAATGCTCTTGCCGGACACCTTGTAGTGTTGCAATGCTCTTGCCGGACACCCCAGAGCGTTGCAATGCACTTGCCGGACACCTCCAAGTGTTGCAGTGCTCTTGCTGGACACCTTGGAGCATTGCAATGCTCTTCCCGGACACCCTAGAGCGTTGCAATGCTCTTGGCTGACACCCCAGAGCATTACAGTGCTCTTGCCAGACACATCGGAGCATTGGAGTGCACTTGTTGGACACCCTGGAGTGTTGCAATGCTCTTGCTGACCACCCAGGAGCGTTGCAATGCTCTTGCCGGCCACCCTGAAGCGTTGCAATGCTCTTGCCGGACACCCTGGAGCATTGCAATGCTCTTGCACGACCACCCAGAAGCTTTGCCATGCTCCTACTTGACACCTCAGAGCGTTGCAATGCTCTTGCTGGACACCTTGGAGCGCTGCAATGCTCTTGCCGACCACCCTTGAGCGTTGCAATGCTCTTGCCGACCACCCAGGAGCGTTGCGATGCTCTTGCCGACCACCTAGGAGCATTGCAATGCTCTTGCCGGAGCGTTGCAGTGCACTTGCTGGACACCCCGTAGCGTTACAATGCTCTTGCCGGACACCTTGAAGCGTTGCAATGCACTTGCCGACCACCGTGGAGCATTGCAATGATTTTGCCGGCCACCCTAGAGCGTTGCAAAGCTCTAGCCGGACACCTTGGAGCGTTGCAGTGCACTTACCGAAAACCTCGGAGCGTTGCAATGCTCTTGCCGGACACCCATGAGCGTTGCAATGCTCTTGCCGCACACCCCGGAGCGTTGCAATGCATTTGCCGGACACAACGTAGCGTTGCAATGCTCTTGCCAGACACCCTGGAGCGTTGCAATGCTCTAGCTGGACACCCCGGAGCGTTCTAGTGCACTTGCCAGGCACCCCTGAGCGTTGCAATGCTCTTGCCACACACCCCGGAGCGTTGGTGTGCTCTTGCCGGACACCCCGGAGCGTTGCAATGCTCTTGCCGGACACCCCGGAGCATTGCAATGCTCTTGCTGGACACCCTAGAGCATTGCAGTGCTCTTGCCGGACACTCATGAGCATTGCAGTGCACTTGCCAGACACTCCTGAGCATTGCAATGCTCTTGTCGGACACCCAGTAGCGTTGCAATGCTCTTGCCGAACACCCCAAAGCGTTGGATTTCACTTGCCGAACACCCCGGAGCGTTGCACTGCTCTTGCTGGACACCCTAGAGCGTTGCAATGCTCTTGCCAAACACCCTCGAGCGTTGCAATGCTCTTGCCGGACACCCCGGATCGTTGCAAAGTGCTTTGCGGGACACCTCGGAGCGTTGCACTGCTCTTACTGACACCCTGAAGGGTTGCAATGCTCTTGCAAGACACCCTAGAGCGTTGCAATGCTCTTGCCAGGCACCCTGGAGTGTTGCAATGCTCTTGCCGGACACCCCGCAGCGTTGCAATGCTCTTGCCGACCACCCTGGAGCGTTGCAATGCTCTTGCCAAACACCCTAGAGCGTTGCAATGCTCTTGCCGGACACCTTGAAGGGTGCAGTGCACTTGCAATGCTCCGAGGTGTCCGGCAAGTGCACTGCAATGCTCCGAGGTGTTCGGCAAGAGCACTGCAACGCTCCAGGGTGTCCGGCAAGAGCATTGCAACACTCCAAGGTGTCCGGCAAGTGCAATGCAACGCTCAGGGGTGTCCGGCAAGAGCATTGCAATGCTACAGGGTGTCTAGCATGACCTTTTCAACGCTCCATGGTGTCCAGCAAGAGCATTGCAATGCTCCCGGGTGTCCGGCAGGTGCATTGCAACGCTCCGGGGTGTCGGGCAAGAGCCTTGCAACACTTCAGGGTGTACGGCAAGAACATTGCAACGCTCTGGGGTGTCCGGCAAGAGCATTGCAACGCTCTCAGGTGGTTGGCAAGAGCATTGCAAAGCTCCAGGGTGGTCGGCAAGAGCATTACAGCGCTCCAAGGTGTTCGGTAGGAGCATTGCAACGCTTCGGGGTGTCCGAGAAGAGCATTGCAACGCTCCAGGGTGTTCGGCAAGAGCATTGCAACGCTCCAGTGTGTCCTGGAAGAGAATTGCAATGCTCTAGGGTGTCCAGCAAGAGCATTGCAACGCTCCGGGGTTTCCGGCAAGAGCATTGCAACACTCCAGGGTGTCCGGCAAGAGCATTGTAACGCTCCAGGGTGTCCGTCAAGTGCAGTGCAACGCTCCGGGATGACCGGCAAGAGCATTGCAACGCTCCAGGGTGTCCGGCAGAAGCATTGCAACGCTCCAAGGTGTCCGGCAAGTGCACTGCAACGCTCTGGGGTGTCAAGTAGGAGCACTCCAACGCTCCAGGGTGTCCGGCAAGAGCATTGCAACGCACCAAGGTATGCGGCAAGTGCAATGCAGCGCTCCGGGGTGTCCGGCAAGAGGATTGCAATGCTACAGAGTGTCCGGCAAGACCATTGCAACGCTCCAGGGTGTCCAGCAAGAGCATTGCAACGCTCCGGGGTGTCCGGCAAGAGCATTGCAACGCTCCGGGGTGTCCGGACACCCCGCAGCGTTGCATTGCACTTGCCGGACACCTTGGAGTGTTGCAATGGTCTTTCCAAACACCCTGGATCGTTGCAATGCTCTTGCCGGACACCGCGGAGCTTTGCATTGCACTTGCGGACACCTTGGAGCATTGGAATGCTCTTGGCAAACACCCTAGATCGTTGCAATGCTCTTGCCGGACACCCTGGAGCGTTGCAGTGCTGTTGCCGGACACCGCGGAGCGTTGCAGTGGACTTGCCGGACACCTCGGAGCGTTGCAATGCTTTTGCTGGACATCCCGGAGCGTTGCACTGCACTTGCCGGACACCCTAGAGCATTACAATGCTCTTGCCGGACACTCTGGAGCGTTGCAATGCTCTTGCCGGACACCCCGGAGCGTTGCAATGCTTATGCTGGACACCTTGGAGCATTGCAATGCTCTTGCCGAACACACGGGAGCGTTGCAATGCTCTTGCCGGACACCCCGGAGCATTGCAATACTCTTGACGGACACCCTAGAGCGTTGCAAGACTCTCGTCGGACACCCTGGAGCGCTGCAATGCTCTTTCCGACCACCTGAGACCGTTGCAATGCTCTTGACAGACACCCCGGAGCGTTGCAATGTTCTTGCTGAACACCCTGGAGCGTTGCAATGCTCTTACCATACACCCCGGAGCAATGCAATGCTCCTGCCAGATACCCTGGAGCGTTGCAAGGCTCTTGCCGGACACCTTGGAGCACTGCAATGCTCTTGCCGACCACCCTAGAGCATTGCAATGCTCTTCCGTGTACTATGCGAGATCTGAGCGCTTCCGTTCTCCCAGGCATTTGCACTCTAAGTTCCCATACTGACAGACCTGGCCAATGCACCATTTTCCATATACATATGCATTAGATTCCTTTCAAACCTTATTAACTCACTAGATTTATATATTTCCCACCTTCTGATCGAGTGAGACCGCTAGATTCCCTCTACTTTTTGAGAAATGAGCGTTTCCGTTCTCCTTGGCCCTACTTGCACTATAAGTGCGAAATGCCGGCCAGACTGGCCGATGCACAATTTTCTCTACACATGTGCGTTAGTTCCCTTTCAAACCCTTACGTTCACTAGATGAATATAATTCCTACTTTCTATTTGAGTGAGACCACTTGATTCCGTGTATTATGCGAGATCTGAGCGCTTCCATTCTCCCTGACATTTGCATCTTAAGTTCCGATACTGACTGACCTGGCCAATGCACCATTTTTTCTATACATGTGCGTTGAATACATTTCAAACCTTTTTAGCTGACTAGATTTATATATTTCCCACCTTCTGATTGAGTGAGACCGTTAGATTCCCTCTACTTTTTGAGAAACGAGCGTTTCCGTTCTCTCTGGCCCCACCTGCACTATGAGTGCGAAATGCCGGCCAGACTGACGGATGCACCATTTTCTCTACACATGTGCGTTAGTTACCTTTCAAACCATTACGTTCACTATATGAATATATTTCCTACCTTATATTTGAGTGAGACCACTAGATTCCGTGTATTATGCGAGATCTGAGCAGTTCCGTTCTCCGAGGCATTTGCACTCTAAGTTCCCATACTGACCGACCTGGCCAATGCACCACTTTCTATATACATATGCATTAGATTCCTTCTGAACCTTATAAGCTCACTAGATTTATATATTTCCCACCTTCTGATCGAGTGAGACTGCTAGATTCCCTTTACTTTTTGAGAAATGAGCGTTTCCGTTCTCCTTGGCCCTACTTGCACTATAAGTGCGAAATGCCGGCCTGACTGGCAGATGCACCATTTTCTCTACACATGTGCGTTAGATACCTTTCAAACCCTTACGTTCACTAGATGAATTTATTTCCTACCTTCTATTTGAGTGAGACCACTAGATTCCGTGTACGATGCGAGATCTGAGCGCTTTCGTTCTCCCTAGCATTTGCATTTGAAGTTCCGATACTGACCGACCTGGCCAATGCACCATTTTCTCTATACATGTGCGTTGAATACATTTCAAACCTTTTTAGCTGACTAGATTTATATATTTCCCACCTTCTGATCGAGTGAGACCGTTAGATTACCTCTACTTTTTGAGAAACGAGCGTTTCCGTTCTCCCTGGCCCCACCTGCACTATGAGTGCGAAATGCCGGCCAGACTGGCCGATGCACCATTTTCTCTACACATGTGCGTTAGTTACCTTTCAAACCCTTACGTTCACTAGATAAATATATTT